CAATCTGGCTCCGTGGGGCAGAAATAAGCAATGGAAAAACTGAAATTCATGCATAGCAATAACAGCATCTCTCCTGGAGGTTTGGAGCTTGACCTGCCTCCAGCCCTGCACACTCTCACCGCCCCTGGGACAAGCAAACTCCTTGGTGTAAAAGATCTGCCTCCATGGAAAAAATGCAGACAGACATACATCGAAGAGAAGGTGTTGAGAAAGCTCTCATTTCCCCATTAAATGTTACTGATGCTAATGTGCCTTCTGATTTCCATAACTCTTGGTTTCAGGACACAGCTGTCCTCACTGTGTAATTGCAATGATGCTTATCTAAACCTGTACCAAAGTGCAAATTCCTCCGTGGGAGGGTGGGATGAGGCTGATCAACACCCAGGGGATGTTACTTCTGTCCCTACAGATTACGAGTAACCCCCTCATCATTAGCACCTAATTTACCAGTTTTATTTAATTTATTCGAGGAAAAACAGGAGCTTCCATCTCTCCCCTTCATGAAGAAGCAAGTGAGAGCAACGCCCAGGTGGGCACACACGTGTGCCCCAGCGCAGCTGAGCTCACCCACGGGTGGGATGCTTTGCCCACACATCTGTGCCCCACAACGGAGGCACTTCTACTGATGTCAAAGCGCTGTGTGATTCCTGAGATGGAACCAAGCCCATCAGTGCAAGCACTGAATTATAGGTGTGCCTGGAGTAGAGGGGCAGCAAATTTTTTAACCTTTTCAGCCATCTGCTGTCTCATGGAGTTGGGGGTATTTGCATGTAGAATTTGGCTGCAACCATCTCGGTTGGTTTGGACTGGGATGTGTGTGAAAGTGATTTCAGAACATGCCTCCCAGAGAGGGGAGCAGTCCAACTCCTTGCATCTGGATTTCTTTGTTCATTAGAAAGTTAAGGAGCATCTAACAAAATCTAAGAACCTGAACAAGCATCTAACAAAATCTCAGCGTCTCTACAGCATGCCTAAGAAGTTGAAAACAGGTTTTGGATCGTGGTTCTCCACATCCAGTGTTCTGGCGTGTGTCATCTTGAGATTTTCATGAATTGCAAATAAATGCATGAGGTAAGCAGTGACAATGGTCCAAGACAAAACAGACGCATGCATAACAGGGTCTGATTTGACATGGACTATAGCATATGCCAAGGAATCCCTTGAGTGTTATAGTGAAAACATCTTGAACTGGGTGGTTTTTACAGTTTAATAAAACTGTAGTAATTTTATAATATGGGAATGGTGGAGATTTAATAAAACTACTGGATGCTGAATTTTATAAAGAAGGGGAATTAAACCTGGCCTATAGAAGAAGGTGTCCCACTGGGAAGAGCGGATCCCAACACTGTGTCTTCAGTGGCCAGCATAATCAGTCTGCACAGAAACTTCACTTATTTAGATCTGAGTTCTTGGAGAAGACAGAACATCTCCATATCTACTCTGTCTAGCTTGTAAATCTATGAGCAATTCTGCCAGTCACAGGAGAAAACGTAAATGCAATGCTGAACAGAGGAAATGTATCTGTGCAAAGGAAACTCCAGACTGGTCCCTCTAGGACCTCCAAACTAAAATAATAAACAGCCAACACAGAAGCAAGTGGCACTCAGCCACGTGCACACACAGCATGTACAAAACACCCCATGAGTCAGAGCAATGGCCCGTTTCCCCCCAGTAACCAGCACCAAGCAGAGCGGCGATGGTCACCAGCAAGGCTCAGCAAAGCCAGCAGCGTTCGCTGGTCCTCAGCCCCTGCCCTGTGATGTGGTGATACACAGACTTTGCAGTGCCCAAAATCCAGGATAGGGCCAACTGCTAAATTACATCCAAAGCTCGAGTTCCCTAAACAGTGGGAGGCTGCAGAAGCTATTTGTCTATTAGCCCAAAGGCTTCACATCATAGAGAAAATCCTCAGAACAGCCATCTTACAAGAGGGTTATTCACTTCTTACTCTCTGTTTGAATGTGAAACAACTTTCAAGTGCAGACTTCTCTTCCAGTACAAAGCAGCCTTAAAAAGCCACGCATTACCCTCGCCTCTTTTTAAAGATATAGAACGTCTGCAGAATCCATGTTTAAGCTAAATGCTTCTCAGAAATAAAGTAGGGAAAGAAGCAGTGAGGGGAGGACACCTCCTGTCCCCCTTGCTCAGGAGCTCCCCCGGAGAGGAATTGCTTGGCAGACAGTGACAGCAAGGCTGCCCCACAATCTTCACCCTTCCTGGGGGCTTGTAGGGCTTGTCTGATAGCGTAGCTGAACCATGAGTGTGTGTTCAGGAAACACTGAATTACCTTAGCACCCAGGCTGTGAGCTGTGGCTCTTCCTGCGCCTCTCTGCAGCCAGCTGGGACATCCCTGCAGCAGGGCAGGAGCCCTCGAGAGCGGGGTCAGGAGGCAGCTCTGGGCCAGGACCTCTGCATCCACCATCCCCAGTCCAGGCTTCTCAGTCACAACCGTAGAATAAACAGAAACCAGGTTCAGGAGGGCTTACAGCTGAGCTATAGCTCTGACCCTCCAAAAAAGTCCCATTTTGGCCCCTGTTTCTACACAAGGATTAAGCAGTATTCATGGTCTGAGGCTCCTGAGGTCTCCCAGCCCAGAAGAGCACCCCATGGCCTGACTGCAGGGTGATCAATACACCCTGTATGAACATATATAAGCACTTATGAACATATGGGACATCTACATGTAGCATATGTACTGCATAAGCCAGGTCAAAACATTAGCTATCATACCATCTGCTTGCATGTCTGTATGTAATCTGCTTTAACTACCCCTTCTAGGTTGGGAGATTTCCTTTGTTTTATTACCAAGATAGCATGTTTCCTGAAATATGTTAGAAATGTATTTGTCCTTCTGCTGAAGCAAGAGAGAAACATCAGGACCAGGAAAACTATAATCTGCCAAGGTCTGTCATCTACTATTTATCTAACACTTCTGGCAAATTACTCTGGATAAACAATAATTGAGATTAGTCCACATTACATTTTGCAAATCACTTTATAAATTACCTTAGGTAGAGAGCACGGTTTCCACTTTCTATCTGGCTGGTGAAAACTCTGAATAATGAATGACAGCTAACAAACAGCAAACAGCTCCTAGTGATAACGCTGCAACATGCACCCAATAATTTGAAATTTGTAAACATTCCAATGAATACCAATTGTCTGAATAGCTAGAGGTTACAAATAACACCAGATAACAGTCACAGAATGAAAGTGGTCTGCGGGTTCATTAAACATCATGGGAGGGGGGGCGGGGAAAAGTCCTTTCTCCATCACGTCTGAGATGGTACGCACAAAGTTCAGGTCTTCTCTGCTGCAGCTGTGAGCTGCACAGCCGGGCTGCTCCCCACCCCGCTGGGAATTCAGTCGGGTGTGTGGCTAAATCCGATCTTCCTCAAAGCAGCGCCGAGGCCACGCACGAAGTTCCTCAGTGCCTCCCACGGACGTACCGCATCCTCCAGCCGTTATCCCACCCGCAGCATCCTCTGCTCTCCCACCCGCAGCTCCCACGAGCCCACAGTGACATCGTCTGTCGGGACGCGGCAGCGGCGGGGACCGAGCCCTCTCTTTCGTGGAGTGGCTTGGGGACACTTGGATCCCTGAGGAGGGGACACACCACATCAGGCAGCTGCGGGCCTGCCCGCCCGGCACAGCCCGCCTGCCCCCCGGGAAAAGAAAGCCCCCCGGGTCTGAACACGGAGCCAGCATGTTGTCCCAGTGAAGAAGGGACAGGATGAGGCTGGTCCTTGCTGGAGGCCACTCTTTGGTGGGTGCCACCCAGGGCCACCCCTGCGGCAGCGCTTGGCGGGCTCTCTCCTCCCAGCTCTGCTGGCTGCAAATTATTTACCGTGGTTTAAAAGAGCCCTTTCAGCCTCCTCCCAGCAGGATCAGCATCTGCTATCAAGACAGCGGCTGTGGTGGTGGGTTTGAAGAGGAATTCTGTGAAGCTGTAACAGTTCCGACGTGAAAATAGCTTTTGGAGTAATCAGAAGGCGGCAAACCCCCTGGGCATTAGCTTCATGCATGTTTCTGGGTTTGCACAATTTTCTCGCTTTGCTTTTTTGATCTCTGTTCTTTAAAGGTGTACACAACTTATCAGACTTCCCCAGAAAGAAAAGAGCTTGGCCAGGGTCTCCAGCCAGTATCTTTCTCTGGCTTCCAGTGTTGCTGCTCTGCACGTCCCCACGCCATTCTCCAGAGGTGGAGATGTGGGGAGCTGATCCTACCCCGGTGACACAACACTCATGAAGACATTTCCACCCTGAAGCCTGGAGCAGGCACTGCACGCAGGGATTTTACATTGGTAGGTAACTATCCTGGAGCATCGCCAGCTGAAGGAAGTAGTCAAACAAAAGTTACTCTCTTTAGCTAAACGAGTGGAAGGAGGAGGGAGCATTATTCACTTCCCTGGAGCTGGGGGGCTGTGGGCAAGGACTCCTCGGGTTGCAGAGCAAGTGTCTTGGCTGTTTGATAAGGAGTTGCCTGCTCGCAGGCAGCTTTACCTCCTGTTGCCAGCGAGGGGCACGGGGAAGAGCATCACCCTCCTTGCTCTGCCTCCCCGGGGAGCACTCCTGGCTGACCTCTGATTAAAGGACAAGTTAAGCCTTGACCTCCACTCCTCTGCATTGAGGCAGAGACCCCGAGGCAGGAACCATAAGCACTTCCCATGGCCTCTGTCCTGTGGTGGGGATGCAAGGAGACTCTGGGGGAATTCAAGGATGCTCCCACGTTGAGAGGGAAGGAGGGATGTCCCAGAGGAGTGCAGGGATGCTCTGGGGTAATCCAAGGACGCTCCTGAGTTGTGAGAGGGATGCAGGGATGCTCTGGGGGATTCGGGGTGGTGCTGGGGCGACACACACACACACTGTGGGGGCTGGAGTGGCGGTCCCCGGAGGGGCGGGGAGGCGGGGCGGGGCGGGGGCGGTGGCCGAGGCGCGGAGCGGTGCGGAGCGGTGCGGAGCGGTGCGGAGCGGAGCGGTGCGGAGCGGTGCGGGCGGGCTATGGAGAGCGGCGGGGCGCTGAACGGCTCCGCCGCCGCCGGGCGCTTCGCCGCCGCCGGGGCGGCCGCGCTGGGCGCGCTGATGGCCCTGCTGATCGCCGTCACCGTGGCCGGCAACGCGCTGGTGATGCTGGCCTTCGTGGCGGACTCCAGCCTGCGCACCCAGAACAACTTCTTCCTCCTCAACCTGGCCATCTCGGATTTTCTAGTAGGTAAAGTGACAGCGCCCCCCTTCTCCCCCCCCCCCCCCCCCCCATCCTCCGGGGCTCCGCGTTCGGTTTCAACTTCGCGGCGGGCACTCGGGCTGCCTCCTGCCCGGGAGTCCCCCCCCCCCAGAACCCGCTCGGGCGCCCCTCCGCAGCCCCGGGGGTCCCCCGGCTGCTCCCTCCGGGGCTTTTGCGAGGCGGGGGAAGGACCCTGCCCGGCGGCTGAGGCCCCCCCCCCCGCCCGAGGTGGGGGTGCAACCACCGTGCAGGCTCCCGCATGTTGATGGAAACGGACCCCTCCGGTTGCAGGTGCCTTCTGCATCCCCCTGTACGTGCCCTATGTGCTGACGGGGAGATGGATCTTCGGGAGAAGCCTCTGCAAACTCTGGCTGGTAGTTGATTACCTGCTCTGCACCTCTTCGGTCTTCAACATCGTGCTGATTAGCTATGACAGGTTCCTCTCGGTGACAAGAGCGGTGAGTCCTGTCATGGCAGCAGAGAGGGGAATAACTCCTGCTGCTTTATTCCCCAGATTCTCTGCAATAATTAAAAGCCCTTTGAATCCTCCAGAAATTATGAATCTTTCAGCCTGGTGATGGAAAGCAGTAATTATCCACAAATACAGCATTCAGCTGTGGTTTCAGATTAGTATTTCTGGCATAATTAAATCATTTAAGGTTCAGACCCCAGCGTACAGGTGTTTCCTTCCCAGATGACAGGATAGTAGTGTACAAGTGAGTCAGCGAGGTAAGCAGACCTATTACTAACTTGCAGGGGCTTATTATCTCCGGGACAAACAAGCAGATTGCAGCCGCGCTCCCAGCTTCTCCCTGGCTACCAGGGCAGTAGCTCGCTCTACCAACTTCGGCAGGGCACAGCCCTGAGGTCTCTGGGTACCGTGGCGAGATGAAAATGCTCAGCCTTCTGCAGGAGGTAACGAGCAATTTGCAGGCAGCTCAGATCCATTGCTGTTTTCTCGTTCCCTGACTCCAAATACAACAGGGAGTAGCTACAAGGCTCAGAGAGAGCCAGAGCTAGGTGCCTGCCTAGCCGAGCAGCTTGATGCGTGCCTGTCCCCAGGAGTTACAGACAGTAGCTGGGGACAATTCAGGCAAGTGGTGGGGTGCGGCACGCTGCCGGGCTCCAACCGAGGCAGTGCATTTCCACTAAGCAGAAGCCACGTCTGGTTGTGGAGCTGCTGGATGAGGGTTCTAAGCCTTCCCTGCAGGAGTGTGATTTATCTAGCAATTTCTCCTGTTGCTTATGGCATATGAATTTGTTAGGCTGCTGGGATATTGCCTAGCAGCTTTTCTGGGAACGCTAACAGTGAAGAGCCTCAACTGGTTGGTGTGTGTGACCATACTTAAGGTTTCCCTGTTGCAGGTTGCCTACAGAGCCCAGCAAGGCAACATCAAGCGAGCGGTGCTGAAGATGGTGATGGTGTGGGTGTTAGCATTCCTGCTTTATGGACCTGCCATTATCAGCTGGGAGTATATATCGGGTCAGAGTATCATACCCACTGGGGAATGCTATGCTGAATTTTTCTACAACTGGTATTTTCTCATGACAGCCTCTACACTGGAGTTCTTCACCCCTTTCATCAGTGTAATGTTTTTCAACCTGAGCATTTACCTGAACATACAGAAGCGTACCAAAATACGCCTGGATATTTTCCATGAAGTGCACAACCAGTCCTTCACTGAAGAGATGGAAATGAGCCCAGAAGCAAAGCTTCCTTTGAAATGCTGTAAGTGGGAGCAGAAGGAGCCAGCTGAAACCCTCGACCTCTCTAAAAGCAAAGCTCAAACAGCAGCCTCCACTGCCAGCCTGGGTTCCAGAGACCTGCTGTCAACATGCTCTGAGAACTCCGGGAAACCCAAGTGTTGCAACAAAAAGACCTGTAAAAATTCAGCATCCACTCTGTCCTTAGAGAAACAGATGAAGATAGTGTCCCAGAACATGACTCAACGCTTCAGGCTCTCTAGAGATAAGAAGGTGGCTAAATCTCTGGCAATCATCGTGGGCATTTTTGGGATTTGCTGGGCACCGTACACTCTCCTGATGATCATCCGTGCTGGCTGCCATGGCCACTGCATCTCTGACTACTGGTACGAGACTTCCTTTTGGCTGCTATGGATCAACTCAGCTGTCAACCCTGTCCTATACCCTCTCTGCCACTACAGCTTCAGAAGAGCTTTTATTAAACTCCTCTGTCCCAAGAAGCTAAAGATTCAACCTCACGATCCCCTCCAGAACTGCTGCAAGTGAATTGTGCAGATGAGAAGAGCCTCTTTTTAATACACCTGTGTTGCAGAAAAGGACTGTAGCTTGCTGGGAGTACTGGTCTGGGGCATGTGAGGAAGACAGCAGTGAGACCACTATTAATTTCTTCTAGTCCATCAACAACAAAATCACACAGAACAGAAGGGTAAGGGGTTTTTGCCATTAACCACAGGTAGTGAAATCTGTGTCCTCCAATTGCTGGTGCCACAAAAGAGCTTTGCTGCCACCTAGTCAGCCAGAGCAGCACCAGCATTTTCCTAAAATAAAGAAAAAACCTGAAAAATAAAAGCTAGCAAAAAATAAATACCTAACTTAAAACTACTCGTCTGAACTACAGTTTACCTGTTTGTAGACCTGATTTTTCCCATCAATGGGAGCGTTTTTTCTTTACACTTATTACACATATGCGATGATACAGAAAGAAAAGAACGAATCTCCAAAGGAAAGCACCTCATTTATCGTTATAGCTACAGCCGTAGCCCAGATCCCAGTTGCATGTGGCACAATAGATGTCCCTTCCCCTCCCCAGGAAGGGACCAATCCCTGCCCTAAGGAGCTTACAGCCGGACTCAGCGGCGCCGAGCATCCTGAAGCACCCCCTTGGCATTCCCTGCTCCCTGCTTCAAAACTGATCCGCGTTCCTTTGCGTCCAGCCACACACCGACCAGTGCTCCCACCGCACTCGGGAGCGCTTCCCTCCCACCCGAAGCTGGGGAGCAGAGCAAGCCCTGGCCCTGGTCCCTGGCCGACCCGCAGAAGAGGGCTGCTCTGCCCACGTGGAAGGTGCCAGCAGGGTATCAGCTTCTCCACAGTCTCCCTCATGATGGCCCAAAGACATTTAAAAATCTCTTTTGCAGGGTCTTAAAAATACTCTTTTGGTTAGAGAACGGCAAGCACCGAGAGAAGTGAATCTTGTGTTCCTTTTTTTTAAGTTAGTTTCAAACCTCTTAATTTTAGCAAGTTCCAGAACTCTCGCATGCTTCCTTTTAAAACACATAATTTGAATGGAGACCTGGCTTGAGCCGATACAGTCAACATAAGCATCCATTTTCTTTATTTTTAAATTTTTTTAAAGCAGTCAACTGATACCACAGATGGAACAGAAGATTCAAGAGACCAGGGCTCTAGCCTCAGTCTTAATGTAAAATCTTGGGCATTTTATCTCTGCTTCCCATCTCGTGCTTCATCATATTTGTCCATTTATTCTGTAACCTCTTTGGGAACAAATGTAGTATGACCATAAAGCAAACGACTTCAACTGCCCATCTCTGTTGGCACTGCTCAGTGATACAGAAATACAAATATGTAATTAATTGCCATGGCAAATGCTCATATTTAACGGTATTGTACAGGGAAGCTCAAGATCTGAAAACTACATTTACAAATAGAAACCTAACTGCTGTAAATTAGTACCCAAAAGCTTACAATGTTGTGATTAACAATTACACTTCGCTGCTGTAAGCAAACTGCTTTTTGGCTGCTGCTAGGAATAAAAGAAAATGCTATCCAACTTTATTCCAGTGATAGTTGTTGAGTAGATCAGTACTGTTATCTGAAGTCAGGTTTTAAATGATGTCTTGTTTTGTGTATATGAGATTTCAATCTTGTGACATGTTCAGTCAGACCGTTATATATGGCTTAAAATATATCCTTTGAAATAAGTGTACTAAGAATTGACAGTATGTACTGTTGGGCCTGCTTGTACCTCTCCTTGTGTCTGCTACCTTCTGACAACCCCAATAAAGTATTTTTATACAAAGCTTGCCAAATATTTTCTGGTAAACAGGGTGTTGCTGGAAATTATAAAATCCAACTGAAAGCAAAGCATCTATGGATTTGCCTGAGGGGACCAGTTAAAGCCTACACATTTTGCAAAATAGTAGCTCCTGAAACAGCTGAGTTTCTCTTACCTCTGATTAGCAGGCTCCTGACAGCACACTAAGGGTGTGGTAAGTTCACATCACTTAATTCTTTCCAACTTCGGTTCTTTTCCAGATCACCTTACATGGAACTCAGATCTGAAAAGGTTGTATTAACACCAACTCTTCCTGTGACTTACAAAATCCACTGGCATGACTAAAAATGACAGTCAGTGTGACCAAGGTACCAGTTTGCAGCTGTGGTTCTCTTAATTTGTTCATAAGGAGAGGTGGGACTACTAGATCATCCAGTCTGATAAAAATAAATGCTACCAGCTGTGTTATACCTTAAGAAAAAAGTGGAGAAATTATTGTGTCTTTTTTTTTTTTTTTTGTAACCTAGTATTAAGTAGTGGTTACCTACTTCACATTCTCATCCTCCAGAAAAGGGATTTTGTTTTCTTCTTTTAAAGACTATTATGTATGTTCTTCACTGGTTCAGTGGAAGGTCTCTGAAATACAGTAGAGACCAAGTAACTGTTAAAACGATACTAATTTGGTTGCAAAAGGGAAATATGCTCCATTTCATGTGGTGTTCCACCATCCAAAAAGCCAGGTTTCCTCAGGAATATTTTATCAGCTCTGGAAGTCATACCCACACCACTTGCTCCTGTACCACTTCTTTTGCACTACATGACACAAAAGTCTATTTCTTGTAGAGCACACATCTCTCTGATACTCTGATTTCCACTCACTGGTCCTCAGCAAGCTTGCAAATAAATGTTGATTGCATACTATCTACTGCCACCAAAATGAGTATGAGGCTACATCATACTCGTTACCGATTACTGAAAAAGTCAAAGCAGATACCAGTTATTTAAGAAAACTGAATAAACTTACAGCATAGTGAACCTCACTGGGTTCATTCCCTTCTCCCTTTTGTGGGGGGGGGGCGGTTCACAGAAATACCCTGAAACATACCTGAAAGTCCAGGAATCTTATTAGCACAGATACTACTTCTACTGTTTTAAGAGAAAGAAAACAACAGAAAAGATAGACATTTATCTAAGCAAACTCTCATAGCTTTCTGTGGTTAACAGCTGAATCTCTGACAAACTAGACCTGAGAATACCTTCCATGACACGTTTTTTTTTTCCTTCAGACTAAACAAATGAATGAACAAAGAATTTATCAGTCTTTCCTATATGAGGCATTTGCCTGAGCAGGGACTGGTAATTGGGCTTTCTAGCAGAATAAAATAGGAAGATGACAGAGGGGGGTGGATTTGTTTTTCTTATTTCCTCCACTTTCCAATACACATCAAGAACGTTGAAACATTATTATGCAAGATCAGAGCTAAGCAACAGGGAGCATATACTGAGTTATTTTAGCAGGCTTTTTTCCCCACTTTCTATAAATTTCCCCTTGTTAGAGCTTGAATTCATTGAATTAAATTAAAACCAGAACACATTAACACTCCTAGCTCCAGAACTGGTTTTCCTGCTTATGATGAGCTGAGCAAACAGCCATTTAAAGAGGGAGTTGCAACTGCTTAAATTCCAAATGTGACATTTTTCCACATAGCCTGAGCCTCCGATCTCAAATTCTTAGCTTATGATTAAGTATTTATGTACTGACAGCAAACAGCAGGTTTTCCCCTACATCCATTGGTAGTAAGTTTGTTCAAAAGTGATGAGACCAGCTTTATATTTCAAGGTGACTTTGCAAGCACATGGGCTAGGAATTCCTTTCTTTCACATGTTCACACAGTCAAAGAGATAAAGCTGTAAGCAAAATACGCAGTCTTAAGAGACTCATAAAATTCATAATACTCACAAGGAGCTGGTGGAGACTGATTTTGCTTTTAGTGACCCGTAAGACCATGATGTACCTGCAGTAAACTGCACATGCCGTCTGTACAAGCACCATGCTTTCTTAGGGTCTCACTAGTGACATCAATATATTTCTATATAATTTAAAGTCCTAATGATACTTTTCTCCAAGACATCAGAATGCGCTTTTGGTCTTAAAGTCCTTTCCCAAAGAGTGAGGAAATAGACACATTTCACTGTGAGCCTTCTGCACAGTATTTTTATGGTCTCTGACCTCCACATGGACAGAATTACCTAAACCTGGCTGAAAGCAATTTTATTCATTGGTGGATTTTGCAGGGAAGATATTTATATACCTTCCTGAAATAAGAGCTCTTGCCATGACAAATAAAAAAGAAAAATGACTACTTATACCTGGACATGGGGTCACACCTGAAGCTGGTTTTCATACTGAAAGTGTTATGAGCTGGTTTGAAGTTTCAGAGTAACTGATGACTAATTCAATTAGGCTTAAAAGAATATTTGAATTTTGCTGATTTTTAGTGTTCAGAATATAAACGTCTATATGCATTTGGAAGCAGCAGGGATTAGGGAGCTTTTAGATATAATCAAATATGAACTGTGAAAACACATTACCATTAGATGAGGTAGGACTTCTTGTCAACTAGCCTAGCAAAACACCTAAATATATAATTTTTTTGCTACCATACCTGCTAAAAAAACCCTGCTCATTCCTATTATCTAGACAAATTGAGCAGGCAGGACCTGTCTTCAAAAACCATGAAAGATGAGTTGCTGTAATTATTAATATGCATCAAATATTTGTGGAAGCGCATAGGCTTCCCACAGAAAAGAAGCTCAGCTATTTCCAGAGAAGTATCCAATTTATTGCACAGAGCGCTAGTGAACAATGTTTGTGCATCTGGAAATTGTACCCAGGAGCTTTATAAAGAGGCTCAGTGACTTCCCGTAAGACCTGTGCAGAGGCAAGGCCAGTTGCCACCTTTAATACAAACCTGCGCTCCATTCACTTAAGGATGTAAAGGTCACCATATCAAGGTCTGTGGCCCTTTCAGAGAGCAACATCTGCATATCAATAAACTATCAACGAACATTTTTCAGCACAGCTACTTTCTTTTTGGCTCAGTAATGCTTCCTCCCTAATCACCAGTAATGAGAGATCTCTTTACACAGACAGAGGAACTTTGCTCCTGCAGCCTCTCTTCAGCGCCCTTCCTCAATTACCATTCCTTATTTGTTCTCCCCAACCTGCAGTTATATAAATTGCTCCATTGTTCCAGAAACATCACTGAAGCTTCATTAGCTCAAGTAGGCTAGAGAAGAAGAGAGAATGCAAGAAGGAGCTTTTGTTGAAAAACACCTGTCTGGGATAATTAATGAGATTTGCAGGAGAGGGTTGGGCTTTGAAATCAGGAAGATGTGATTATATTTTGATTTGAAAGAATGCTAATCGTTTTCCTTCCATGTTTGTAAATGAACATTCATTTTCATAGCAGAACTAGGACAGAAAGACAGTAGGTTAGTGTCCTTTCTAGAAAGACGTTTAACAACATGATTTCTATGAGAGAGGATTAGTTTTTCATAATCCCAGCTCCCATGCACTGACACCAGCCCAACTTTGCAGTACAGACCCAGTCTTGAAAGAGACCCTCTCCACTCTACAGAACTCATTCTGCAAACAGATGGGGCACAATAAGAAGTATTATTATCTTTACTTCTGATGCGGGAATTGCAGACAAGAAGAGAAACACTTTGCTAGCTGCCCTGGATGAGTACCACAAAAAGGAAAAGTTCTTTGGATTTCTAACACCACAAAGCTAGCCTTTCATGCAAGATTTCACAGATGTCCTTGCAAATGGCAGGGAACTCACAGCACTACTGTGTTCCCTTAACCTTGACTTAAAACTCCTCCTTTCTTCCTTACCACTGCACAACACGCTTTTCTGCCAATATAGTTGTATTTGCAGGATTAAGGAATTATGGGGTTTAGAAATGCAACTAGGAATTCTGCAGGGTATAAGGTATTATCTATAACCTGGTTCCATCATTTTAGTGAGATATAAAACTATCATTGGCATTCACTTCAGCAAACCCACTGCCACCTGGGAGAGGAAGACTTGTGCATACCTCCAAGGCAAGAAAACCTGGGTCTGTCCCTAAACCTCTTGTGAGCTCAGGAATGCTGATGACTCATTAAATCAGCACCATTTTTACTGCTATAGTCCAGGATGCATGAGCATTACTTATTACTAGGTTCCACATTCTTACTCCGTAATATACAAGCTGCTTGCAGAGTCTGGGTACAAAAGGGAACTAGTATTTAATTAAATTACCAAACATTATAGGTAGAGCTATGCATGCACATTTGTGGGGGAAGAACAAGACCATTATTTTTCCATTTGTAAAATTCTACAACCTGAAACATTTTTTTCAGTGACTCAGATGCACCAGGCAGGACTTTTTGTTGTGTTGTAAAGGCCTTTCTTATACATCAAATACCTGTCAATAATTCCTAGGACCCCCTGCCATAACATAGAATGACTATATATTAGAGATGGCAAAGAAAGGGCACAGAGGTAGGTAGTTGTGGTGCTTGTGTGTACAAACACCACAGGTATCCCTCCTGTGCGTGTAAACACAGAATTCATGACAAAACCAAGAGTTTTCATAGGCAGACCATTCCCACAACTTAGGCATCAGTTCTTTTAAGCACAAAAATGCATCTGTGATGCAATACTGAATTTTGAATGATTTTTAACACAATATTCTAGGATTTAGCTGCACAATTAACACTGAAGGAGAACTGCATTCACAAACAACAAGCTCTCTGCTAGGATGGCAGTGACAGCTCTGGCAAATTTTTTAGCTGTTAAGTAACAGCTCACACACAGCTTTAGCCATTAGAAGCTGTTTATTGAACAACAAACAACAATGGGAGTTGCATATGTAATTCCTTGAACATGAGGTTGCATGTACACCCTGCAGTGTTCATGAATTGATGATGGATTGACAAAGCAGGGCAATTACCCTTCATTAGGAAAATAATTTACACTCTAAGA